AAACAATCAGGAAGTTCTCTTTTAAAAGATCATAAAGTGTTCTTCCTCTATCAATAGCATGTAAATTAAGTTCAGCAACTAATTCTTTTTGTTTTCCTTGTGATGGTGCAATACGAAAAAGACCTTGTTCATTTAAACTATTTTCTAAAAGTCTAATACATATTTCAATAGGATAAGCAATAAGTGTATCATTTCGTTTTAAACAATGTTTAGCAAGATCATAACCAAATGATGGAATTAATTCATCATTTTCTAATCTTTGTTCAATTTCAGGCATTCGTGATGATAAATACTTCGATACATGATTACAAAATGTATTTTCTTCATATAAATATTGATAAAAAAGTTTAATTGTTATTGAATGTTCTTCACTAGCAACTTTATATGTTTCAGCTGCATATATATCATGTGATAATGTTCGAGCTTGTTCACATTCACAACGAATATCTTCTAATTCACGTAAACGTTCATCAAAATTTGGTAATGTTAAACGATCAGATCGTGTTTGAAATCTTTAGAAAACTCAAAAGAATTTCTTCTTTGTTCGTTTTTATATAAAATTAATAAACGAACTTTTTTCAATTGGCATCAGCTGCTTCTAATTTTTGTTGAGCTTTTTCATAATTATCTCGAAGTTTAGTCATTGTTTGACGAATAGTTGACTTTTATAAATAAAAATAAAAATAAAAAAAAAAGACAAGGTTCTATAATTACTTGTTTATCTCTGGCTTGTTCAATAATTTTTTTTAATTGTTCAAGCCATTCTTTTCTTTTTGAATCAATAAAATCATGTATTTGAACTAAATCATCAATTGTTTGATTTTTAAAACCGATGAAGCTCCACTTGTTCCATATGGTAAACGATAAGAACGTGCAACATCATTATCAATACTTTTATTTAACTAAAAATAAATTTCATTTGTTTTTTTTTTCAAAATAAATATTTTTAATTAACTTACAAAATCTTTATCGGTTTTCCAAAGATCAGATAATACTTTACAACCATCTCGAATATAACGAACTCGATTGTAACAATCAGGTACATCATCATTTCTTTATTAAAAACAATAAATAAATAATAATATTATATATTCAAATAATTTCAATCAATATTTAAATATTTTATTATAATTTATTAAATTTATTTTCATTCGATTTCAAAAACAATCGATCATTGATTTTTCGATAGATTTTATATATATATATGTTGTGGTCGAAATTAAAATTCAGCCCAATTTTAAATTTGCCCAGGCAAAATTGAAATTTTAATTTTGTCCAGACGAAATTGAAATTATAATTTCGTCCGATATGTTCTTAGTCAAAATTAAAATTTTAATTTCGTCCAGACGAAATTAAAATAGTGTTCCGATGAATAGAAAGTAGTAAAAAAAGAAATATTTAAAGTACAAACAAATGTTTTTTTATTTTATAATCTTTATTTAATACACACAATATGGGTCTCTGAATTAGTTTAGTGCATGTTTGAACAGCCACTCCCTCTTCGAATGACATTTGGTTGAGCAGAAAACGTTTTCTTTTTTACATGGACATGATTTT